GTTGATTTCTCAGCTTAGCCACGTTCTGTTGCACCGTTTGTGCAACCATGGTTTTGATCATCTCCACCAGTTGGCAATTTTCGGGGTTTAACATCCCTGCCTTCGATTATTCGCGGCCTGTCGAGTTGGCGGCATTGGTGGTCGACGCCCAGCGGCGCCTTGTTGCACCTCCTGATGGGTGGTCTCCACATTGTCGTGGTTTCCGGTGGTGGTTTTTGATCTTGTACGCACCATTATGGGCCTGGATTGATTTAATTGTTGTGGCTGTTAACTTTATGAGATGTTGGCAGAGGTTTATGCTCTTCCTCTAGTGTCAGAATGTTGACACTGGTATGTGCATGATTATGTATAACTAGCAATGAATGAATAATGAATGCAGTAAAGTAAATGGCAAAAAGAATTTTAAAGTGGTTCGATGAGATGAACTCTTGAGCCTACGTCCACTGTTTTTTGTATTTGCTATGAGAGCTTACAATAGTAATTCTAGGAATATTTTCCAACCCCTTCCTCATCGTTTGAGGGGGTTTATATACAGAGTTTGTACAAAGGAAAGAGCGAAAATAAAGGGATTACAATTAAATTTAAATGCAACTTCGATATTCTCGTGATTGGGTGTTGTGATAGTGCAAAGATTGTTGTCAATCTGATTCCTCCAGAGATATATGGGATATAAAGTTATATGGGAATTGGTTGAACGATCGCATGGATTGTTTGCGACTAGCTTGTGTTGAGTTGAGCTAAAGCCGAGCTTATGTTGGGTCAAACAATTAGTGGAGTCGAGCTAGTTCTGGATCGGGCTATAACCTCGCAATATTCTAAGCTTGATGGAAAATCACACATGACACTAGGTTATGTACATTCCAAATTCACCTTTGAATATTTCACAGAACAAAGTAGGTTTATGTTGTTCAAATGCATTGCTTTTATATTTCTTCTGGTTGAATTTGCTCAACTTTTCATCTCATCAAGTTGTAGGTACTGTGGGATATGCAACTCCTGAATATGTCTGAAATGGTCATGTGTCAGCCAAGAGTGATGTATGGAGCTATGGCGTCTTCCTTTTTGAAATAGATAACAGGATCCCAAGAATTAGCAGAAAATATTGGAATGGGTAAGGATAACAAAGGTTAAAGGCGTAACGCCATACTTATACGATAATTTTCGACGAATGTTGGACCTAGGTTTGAAATTATGACTTAAATGTCCCCTTAAGTCAGTCGAAAAACTTGTAAGGACAGTCGCCCTATGCTTGGTCGACGACTTGAGGTGCCTCCCAAAGAGTGAGGTATTCGAAATGGTGACTAAAATTGTGGAGGAATCAACAGAAACTAGTAGCCCTCAACTACCCTTGAGGAGTTGGACGTCTATGGAAATTTCTTAAGACAATAAAAAAAAAAATAAGAAAACCATGTTGGAATCAAAAACTGGAGGTTGCCATGGAAGTGGAGGCCGAAACTTACTTGATGAATGTAAGAGGTTTGATGTGTTAAATGCAGTGAGTTTCTAATTTCTATGTTGATTTGCATAAAGCTGCCATCATAGATTCTTGCTGTTAAAACTTTTGAAGAACTAACAAGAAGAAAATATAGAAAGTATAAACTTAGATTCCCAATTGCAGTGAGTTTTATTGATTGTTAAATTGATACAAAATGTTTAATTAAAAAAAAAAGAAAAGAAAAGAATAATATGAAACGACATGAGTACAAGAAGGGTCAATGATCATACTAAGAGACAGTCAATGAGTGAATGACCTGTACTCTTTTCAATTTAACTCTCCTGAATCGTCAGCCCGACTCATTCAAATCTTAATATTAAACCGACCAAATAAAATTTAATTAATTAATTGAATGAATGAAAGAAATAATGATGGTGATAATTAATGTAATGTGATGTAAATAATAATAAATACAGCAAACTACATGTTCACACCTGAGGTTTAGTGAAATCTTAAGTTGATACTATTGGTTGTATTTATCATCATTGAACTAACACCGTTTCTTTTATTTTAATAGTTGAAGGGTAAAAGTGTCAAAATAACCAATTTTCACCCATCTTTCATCTTCACCAATTTGACCGTTGTTTCTGGCCAGATTGTGGCACCATCAAACTCCCCGAACACTTCCATCCGAATCCTCACATCACCCTCACCAAAACCCCCTCTCTTTTCCACCCCGGTGCACCCTCAAATCGTAGGCCAACGACCTTTGCACTTTCACACAAACTCATTGTTTCTTGGCCAATTTTCGACTGTTCCATCTGATTTTTAAAGTTGTTTGGGAGTGATTTTTCTAAGAGTTTTTGTTTGGAGTTTTTTTGGCTATTGATTGAAGTTGATTGCTTGATGGGTGTTCGGCTATTCATTAGGGCAATTCAACAAACACCTTGTGTGCATCAGCTGAAAAAGAAGAAAACGACGCCAAAGGAAGTGGAAAAGGCTAGAAAAAACACACAAACAAGTCCTCTAAGCTTCAAACTCTCCACAACTAAAACCAATTTCACCAAAAAAAAAAAAAAAACTCCAAATTTTGCTCCAATTACAACCCAAACACAACTACACCACAAGGGAACCCTAGGGTTGGCCGACTACGAATGGTGAGCGAGCTTGGTCGAATTTGTTGGGGTTTTTGTAGTAGAGAGGCTAGGGAGTCTTTTGGTGGTGGTTAGACGGATTTAGAGGTTAGGTTTGGCTGGAATTTGGCTTGGAAGTGGTGGAATGAAAATTGCAAAATCCGACTAATGGGGGAGTGATGGTGGGTAATGGAGGTATGGATCTTATAGAGGAGTTTGGGAGGGTTCAGAAGGTGGTCACATAATAGATTTTGGACAATAGAATCGGCTGAAAAGTGGCCAAGAATGCGAGGGGCATCGCCTACTAACGTGCGCCATTAGCAGTAAAACCGAGACAATGAAGATGAAGATGAAGATGAAGATGGGTAGGTGTTCATGCAAATTTTCACGCCAACGAGAAGTATGTGAATCCTGTGTGTGGGATTCACTCAGGGTCCTTGGAAGACCAAATATAAAGTTACATTAGTGTTGGATTTATAAATTAAAAAAAAAAGCGTAAAGAATAACAAACTAAAAGACGGGAAAGTGAAGCAACAAATAAAAAGGACAAGAAGATTTTTTAAAGTGGTTCAGAAGTAATAAGTAATTTTTACACCCACTGTTATGATATTGCCCTTTGCAGGGTTTCTCACTAATACAAAGCGCATGAGATTTCTTTTCCACTCCCCCCAAATGTGAGTGGGAGACCCCTTTTTATAGTGTTACATTTTTAAGCTTAAGTGTGAAGTAACACTCATGCAATGTGACACGTGGACAAAATGACATCATAGCTTTAAATCTTACTAGTGAAGTAATCTTTTTGTAGTCTTACATGTGAAACAAACCTCTCATGGGTTGACACACAAGCTGGAGAGTAGTGTATGATTTCGACACTTGACGTGAATTCATTCTATGTGGATTTGTTGTCCAATAGGAGGAAAGTTTGATAATAGCAATTCTGTATCTATGTTAGAACTCTATTATAATTAACAGTGTTAGTTTAAGGGTATGAATTTAGAGTAAATTAAACCAGGGGGTAATTTTGGATTTTGCTAAACCTCGGTGGTAACATGTTATTTGCTCTAATAAATATGAAAGTGAAGAAGGAGTCAAAGCTTGTTTAATGTTTCCAAAATTCTTTACATAAGACCATCTTGACTTACTCCTTCGTAATCTTCACGAATCAAGACTTTTCAACTCTCCCTTCTCTCTGGTCTTTACTTGTCTTGTCTTCGTCCCACCTTTCCACGATCCACATGGCCCCTTTCACATCCGGATTTTCAGCTTCTTTCTTTAACAATTATAATTTTATGGGTGGGACTGATTCAAAAGGTCCATGATAATATTATATGAATTTGTCTTTCTCAATTTTTATCACCTTAGCTTAAAACATACCAACAATATTAAACTTCATACATATTTTATGTTAAACTAAAATTTATATTGATAAATAGATATAGGGTTAGGATTTTTTTTTTTTTTTTTTTAAATATGACAAATAAATTTATGGCATTCTAGTAATATTACTGAGATAGTAATACAAGTAAATATATGTATCTTAGCATATATGAGAATAAAAAATCAGAATAAGTGGCATTATATTGGTTGATACCCTACTATATTTGATATTTTATTTTATTTTTATAATATTTGCCCACTTTTAACATCACATTTTTTTATACATGGCACTGCAATGATACGTAGACGTGATATCATAAATTAATACATAAAAGTTATATGAAAAAATCTAATCTACTAACTATCATTGAATGACCCAGATAGTTAATTAAGACCTTTAAGTATATTATTCAAGAGATTTTGAGTTTGAATAACTTGAATTGTTAATAGAGGTGGTTATTGAGGAAATTTATCCAATTATCAACTTTAGAACTCAAAAGATTAGTTGAAATACGCGTAAACTGATTTGTCAATCATAAAAAAAAAAAAGATATAATTTACGAAATCATATAATTATTGTAGTTAATAACCAATCGGTCACATTTAATATAAAGATATATGAGAAAAAAAAAAATCCAAAAAAAAAGTCTGATCTACTAAATCATATAATTATTGGAGCCAATAACCATAGGTCACATTTAATATAAAGATAATTGAAGCTATATTAAGTTTTATTGAATAGTTTCTTTTATTCCTAAGTTTATCCAAATCAATCCAATTTTCTTGGGACCCAAATCCCAAATTTATCTAAATTCAGTTCTGAGTCTTCTGACTGTAAATTTTTTTGTTAAGAGTCTCACATTGCTCTCAAAATTGACCACCTTTTTTTAACTAAATTAAAATGGCGACTCTTGAGCAATGTAGGATTTTTGCGTTATAAAAAGGGATAGATTTTATTTAACAATAAATAAAACAAAAGAAATTTATACAAAAATGTGGGGCTTTGTGGGGTTGACTGGCTGACTCGCATTGGTATTCCAGTTGCCGTGTATGGACTTTTATCTCAAGATCATAATTTACCTTTAAAGACCCTTTGATTCCCGTGATTATAACTATTTTTTCTCTCTTTACATTCATCAAAATTGGAACTTTGTTAAGGAAACGAGTTTTTGCAAACCCATCTGTCAAGATTGGTAATTGTAAGTTCTTCTTTTGGTGATGATTATTTGCAGAAAGTTTCTAGATTTTGTGCCAGAGATATATAAATAACTCAACATTTTAGTTTCTTGGTTTCATATGTTTGACTTTAGACTGAAAAAAACTATAATCATGTAAAGAAATGATTGAAGGCTTTATCTATGAAACTTAGAGTTAGATTTTGGTTTCTTGTATTTGAACAATTACTGTAGTCAATTCTCACCATTTATGCATTCTTTCAGTGTGTTTGTGATTTTGATACTGAAATTTTAGATTGGTTTGTTTGCTTGAGTTTGTTTCTCATTTGAATCCGGATCTGCAGTCAGGAAATTTCTGCGTTTTGATTTTTTAAGGGACATGAAGTGTTTCCAATTCGGTAATAGAGACAAGAGAGATGAACCCATCTCTCCAAGGACCCCAAAGTCAGTAGTTTCAATGCGGTCCTTGGATTTTGCATTTACTGATAATGGGGCTGAGTTAAATTCACAAAATGTATCAGCCATCAGCACTGAGTCCACAAGAAGGCCCTCCTTTCCGACGTCTCAGAAACCCAGTAATCTTCAAGTGTTCACCATAGCTGAGCTGAAGTCAGCCACTAAGAATTTTAGTCGCTCTGTTATGGTTGGCGAAGGTGGGTTCGGTTGCGTTTATAAAGGGTTGATCAAGAATTCGGAGGATCCATCTCAAAGAATTGAAGTTGCAGTGAAACAGCTTGGAAGAAGAGGGACGCAGGCAAGGGTTCTTTTTATATTATAAGATTTATTGCCTTTAGTTTTCTTTTGTTATTGCTAATGTTTTAGATGTTCACTTGTTTAGCACTTACTGTAAAAGCACTTAAAAGTAAGAAGCCATTTATTTTAAGTTGTTGATTGTCATAAGTTGCTTCAAGTTCAGATGTTTTAAGGTTGTTGCTAAGTAGGATTAATCCCACTTCCATATCTTATGATTCAATGATGCTACATTCTTACTGTAGAAGGACTGCAAAAATAAATCGCATTTCAATTTGTAGGCGTGTAATGAATAAATTCATCAGAGTCTCAGATAATATACTGGTATGATCGATTCTTTTCAGTCAGTCTATAAATCTAGTAATTGCATAAAATAAACATGTGTTTTTGCCCCCACTCTTCTCTTCTATGGTTTTGTTTCTTCTAATGACTTGGAATCATCTCTATTTCTTTCTTGTCCTGCTAGAATTTGTTATTATACGTACGGTTTGTTATAAAGCTTTGATACTGTATTTAATGCTGGAAAACATTATTTCAAGCCTATCACAGATTGCTGGACATTTTGAAATAAGATGCTTATTTTAGTTGATAATCTTTTTTTTTTTTGGTTTATGAACTAAGGTTTTCAGCTATTGGTTGACAGGGACACAAGGAATGGGTGACAGAGGTGAATTTTCTAGGGGTTGTCGAGCATCCAAACCTTGTAAAATTGGTGGGATATTGTGCTGAGGACGATGAAAGGGGAGCCCAGCGGCTTCTAGTGTATGAATTTATGCCTAATGGAAGTGTGGATCAGCATTTATCCCCTCGATCAGAGACAACTCTTCCATGGGCCATGAGATTGAAAATTGCCCAAGATGCTGCTCGTGGTTTAAAATATCTACATGAAGAAATGGATTTTCAGGTATTTATGCTTTTGATACTTCAACATGTTTAAGGTTTTGTGAGAAGATTTGTAGTAGTGCATTGGATGCTTCCTGGGTGGTCTTTTAATGAAAAGTTAAAACTGTGATTCAAGTGCAGCTTATCCAAGAACAGGCTACTTTACAACTTATTGTCTTATTTTTATTCTGTTGTATCTATTACAGATCATTGTCAGAGATTTCAAATCTTCAAATATCCTTCTTGACGAGAATTGGAATGCAAAACTATCAGATTTTGGAATGGCAAGATTAGGTCCTTCAGAAGGATTCACCCATGTTTCGACAGCGGTATGTCCATAGTGCATAACCATGTTTTTGATGATAAAAACAGAGAATAGAAGATATGCGTATTTAGGTTTGAGCATTAACATTTTAGATATTATGTCTTTCAATGGTCAGTTGCAGAAATAAACTAGCAAAGGTAGTATTTTACAAAACACAATAGGTTATGGACACTCCTAATTCACCCTCAAATATATTACAAAACAGAATAGGTTTAAATTGTGTAATATGACTATATGAGAAACAAATCATTGGTTCTTAGGTTCTATATTATGATTATTCTTTCATCTAGTTTATGCTATCCAAATTCCAAATGCCTGCTATAGAAACAGAATATTAGCTACTTTTCTGTTTCTTCTTCCAGTTGAATTTGCTTAAACATTGATCTCTTCAGGTTGTAGGAACCTTGGGATATGCAGCTCCTGAATATGTCCAAACTGGTCGTCTGGCGGCCAGGAGTGACGTATGGAGCTATGGCGTCTTCCTTTACGAACTAATCACAGGAAGGCGTCCCGTAGATCGAAACCGTCCCAAGAGTGAGCAGAAACTATTGGAATGGGTAAAGCCATACTTATCTGACGCCAAAAAATTTCGACAAATATTGGACCCCAGGCTTGAAGGTAAATACTCACTCAGGTCAGTCCACAAACTTGCAACTATAGCCAACCGATGCTTGGTCAGAAACCCAAAGGCACGCCCAAAGATGAGTGAGGTATTGGAACTGGTGACTAAAATTATCGAGGGACCAACAGAAACTGGTAGTCCTCAATTACCCTTGAGGAATTCGACATCTATGGAAACTTCCCGCGACTCTAAAACAAAAAATAAGAGAGCCAAAATGGAATCAAGAACTGGGGAATGTAATTGTTTGACTCAGAAATGGAGACCGAAACTCGTAAGGACTTGCTGAATGCAAGAGCTTTGATGTGCTAAATGCAGATGAACTTTTGAAGAACTAAAAAGAAGAGAATAGAGAAATTATAAACTTGGATTCCTCTTGATGATTAGTCCAGAGAGTGTAAAAAACAATTCTTGTAAGGAGATGCAAAATGCAGTGAGTTTTGGTGAAGCCTGTAGTAAATAGTAATACAAAAGATTCTTCGCTGAATCAGTGTAATAGTTATTTGTGAAAATTCTGTATTGTTGTTGTCTGTAGAATTTGAATAATTTCATCAAAAAAGAAAAAATAAATGGAGTTATGTAGTAAGCTAAGTTTACATCTTCTTCATCTATAGAGCACTGTAATTTCTGCTGATCTCATGTAATTTCTTCATCTACAGAATCACCTCTAAGGTTTATTTTATAGTGAGTTTGGAAGTACTTTTCTTACTATCAAAATAGCTAAAATCACTTTTTCTATTTACATTATAATGTTTAGTTTTAATAGGTAAAAGTACTCTCTGGATTTTCTTTTCTTTTCTTTTTATTTTAAGGGTATTATTATTTAGAAGACATTTACTTTATAAATTAAAAAATATTGACACAAATTACATTTTATCACGCAAGAGACATTTTTTATTATTTTTAAATGACATTTTATAAAATATGTCCTAAAAAAGTTATCGGTTTATTCCCGTTTTGATAAATATTACTAGAGACGGGCGCAGGCTGAGTCGGGGCTGGGGACCCCATGCCCGAGGCCCGTCCCCGTTACCCGCTCCGAGGACCATCCCCGGCCTGTCCCCGCAGGTGGGGATTTTTCTCATGACCATCCCCAGCCCGCGGGGACAAAATCATGACCATCCCCATCCCGGCCCAACCCGATAACGGGGGCTTCGCGGGGAATTTATCCCCTGAACGGGGATTTTTACCCCATGTAAATCAAAACTTTCCGTAAAATTAATTATTTTAATTGTGAAAAACTAGTACGTTGATAAGTATTATATTTAACAATTTGATTTTTTAATTTCAATAGTTAATTAACTTAATTCATTAAAAATGCATAATTTAAGGTAAGAAAATATAAAGTCTAACAATTTCTTGTAAAATTTAAATTAAGATTTAAAAAGTAAATTGATCTGAATAATTGAATATGGTGAATAACAATTTCTTGGTAAAAATTGGAACATACTCATGGATTTCAAAGCAATAAAATATAATCATCATTCAGGCTATATTGCTGCAACTATGCATCTATGCCATTCACAGTTCAAAAAGCTTGTAAACCATATATTTCCAATTTCTTAACAACTTGTTAAAATTAAATGTCATCCAATTTCTGAATAGCTGGAACAATAATCTACTTTCATTAAGTGATTTATTAGATAATCGAAAACTAAGGATCTTAAATACTATTTGAAATTCAAAAGAACTGCAGGGAGGGGCCATTGAATGACTGGAAAAAGCCAGGGCCTATTTACGGAAAGTTAGAATGTTGGATTGCTGCCACTAGAGTACTTAGACAACTCCAACAAGAATTAATACAATAATTATATTCAATCTTAACATAATTTATTAGGTAAATTGCTTAGTTATTCAATTGTATGGAGGCTTAGGTTTAGTTAGCCATGTTAATTAATTAATTTTTCATGAAATTAACATAACTAAATTCAATCTTTACATAATTTATTAGGTAAATTGGTGAATTAATTCATAAAACACTATCTCCACTACAACTAATAAAATTAGTCCATTTGTGAAAGGGACAAATCCCATTATTTGATTAAGTTTAACATCATATTTAATCAATCAATTAATTAATTACAAGGATAATTGAATTTGTGTAATTTGTAAGTCGTTAAGCAATTATATGTATTCTTATATTGGTTTGTAAATTGTAATAATCTAATTAAATTTATTTTTGGGCCATGTCCCATGTATTATTATTTTGTGAAATTCACAAAGTAATAATACATATATTTAATTACTAAACTCCCTTGTTTAAATTATTTTTCTATAAATTTAATACAAACATTAGAAAATATTATAAAAATATATATCATAAATTTAGATACATTACTTAAAATTATGATTTAAACTTTAACTTTATATCAATTTTGTAAAGGAAACAAAAAAAAAAAAAAAAAAATTCTCAAAAAAACAAGGCGGCCAGGGCTCCATGGGGACCGGGCAGGGCGGGCCGGGGATTGCATTATCCCCTTCCTTGGCCCATCCCTAGATGCGGGGACATAACTAAGGACTATCCCCGGCCCTATCCCCGTCTTTTTTGGGGATTCCCAGGCCCATTTGGGTCGGGTCGGGTCCCAGCGGGGGCGAGGCAAACGCCCATCTCTAAATATTACATTTGTCCGACCAAAATTTGTGCACAATTTTGTTCATAAATAGATAAGTTTAAACAGTAAAAGTATATGTTTATTGATATAAATAAAACTTGTTTATTTTTTTTTTTCTAGTTTAAAATAAAAATATATTTAAGTGATAACATCTTTTTTTTCTTTTTTAGACAAAAGCACTTTTTAGCAATGTTTTAAAACCCGACCCGGCTCGGCCGATTTAACTAAAACTCGAAAGCTTCACCGGGTCGGGTTTACATTTTTCCTATTTACCCAAAACCTTAGAATTTGGGATGATGATTGATGAACAATTAAAGGTCAGGATGTTGGGCTGCAATGGTAGTGACAGAGTTGATTTTCGATGAATAAATCAGTCGAAAATCGAAAAAAAAACTGGTGGCAACAACAACCGGCTTTTGCTGGCGATTGGCGAGGCTAACAAGGGTGGGGTGAGGTGGGTTTTTGTCGGGAGGAAGAGAGGAGTATTTTCGGGGTGATAGGGAGGGTTGTCAACGCCGGCGCTGGTGAGATGTAGCCTGGAATGCTGCCGACAAAGTCGATGAGATTTGGTCGAAATCAAACCGATATCGGCCAGATCTTGGGTAGATGTTCGGAGGAATAGACTCAAGGGACGATTGGGGTTCCATTTGAGGTGTCGCCGCCACCAACCAGTCGTCGGCTGATTTGTATTTGGGGTATGTTTGCAAACATATAAGGACTTAACAAATTTTTAAGGGTGTATTTACTAAATTTTAAAATTATTTGTCAGGCGGTTTAACCGCCATTCAAACATGTTAAATTGGTCAACCCGAGATCCGGAAACTTTGCCGGGTTTCATCCCAGGTTGGGTTTTAAAACGTTGTTTTTCAGGTCCAAAAATTACTTAACAAAAAGTGATACTTGATCATCTTCCATAATTAAAATAAAAGAAATACCTTTACAATAATTTTGAAAGGAATACTGTATAAATACTTGATAAAATATTATTGGGATAACCTCAAGGGGTTGGCCTGATGGTCAAGAATGTTTGTTTCTTTCATTAACTTTCTAGGTTCGAGCTGGCTTGGGGCCACTTACCACATTTGTAGTTTATCTTGGAACATTAAGCTTGTAGGATGTTCAATAAGCCTCAGAATTAGTTGAGATGTGAGTAGACTAGCTGAGACATCCTCGTCATAATATATATATAATTGGGATTGCAAATTTTTGGGTTAGAAAAGTAGTTGAAGTACTTTTTTGAAAAAGTAACAAATTCTAAAAAGTAATTTCTATAAGCTGTAAATATGTGCAAAAAGAAGAAAGGCATTAATTTAACTTCTTTACACAACATTAGATTCCTGTATCCCTTGTAGCTAACAGTGACTTGCACCAACCATTGATCCTGAAAAGAAAAGAAGAGAAGGAAATGACGAATGCAGTCATGATTAATTGGGCCGCCCATAAAGTGTTTGTTAAAAAGCCAATACCATTTGTGTAAATAAGTCGTGGCTTTGGTGATTCTATATTTGAAGGGTTGCTCAAACGAAGGAAAAGAATATTGGGTTTTCTGTTTAGAAAATGACAGCCATTGGTTGGTATTGATTCTATTTGATGTTGATATAACACTAAGATGATAAACATATTAACACGGCACGTAAGCTTGTATTAATTATCTTGACTATAAATGAGACAAGCCGTGCCATTTGTATTTTTATTATTTTATTTAATAATTAAATATAGTATTTTTACTCTTATTATTTTTTCATTAAAGACAATTAAGTAAACTCACTTTTAACAAAATCTTACCATATCGAGAATTAGAATTTGCGCGACAGCTATGCATAAAAAAAAAAAAAAAAAATACTCTTTACTAATATTAGATTCAATTATGGTTTTGGTGTATCTAGGCTTTGTGATCTTGAGGATACAAGGATCAGATTTTGTAATAATGTACATTAAACTATAAAATCTCATACAATAAATCCATCTAAAGTCTAAACTAATCTCTTTAATTTGAAAATAAATTAGCTATTTCGCAAAATAAATGATTAGAATCTTTGATCTTAAATAACTCGTCTAATTGAATGTGAATATGAATACATTTGTTGCGTTTTTTTTTTTTTTTTTTTTTTTTGACCGAGAGTATTTGGACCAATTTATGCGTATTTCAATTAATCTTTCGAAATCTTAAAATTATTAACTGGATAAGAACTCTTACGGTTACCCTCATTAACATTCGAGGAGGGATTCGAATTCAAGACATCTTGAGTAATACACCCAATAATCCGTATCGAACCACTCAACCACCTAAAGGTAGTTAAGAGTATTAAATTTTAACCTTGAATTTTAAAATTAAAATATTATATAAAACAAAAATGATCGAAAGAAAAATATATTACAAAAGCATCAACCTTACAATAAATTAAAGTTTCTTTAAAACACCAAATAAATTAAAGTATCAAACAAAAATGATGCTCACTATTATTTTTACTCTTGTAATGTGATTATTTAATAATAAAATAAATAATATTTGATATACAAATTTTAATATAGAAATAGACATGACACAAAATTAATAGACAAGTACTTAAAACATTTAATTCAATTAGTATTCAATATATATAAATAAATAATTATGTAGTTCTTACGTGCACCTCGACTTGTTTCCCGATCTCGAACAAATGACCAATAATATTAACAACCGTTATTGTGATTCGAACTTAAGACTACAAAAAGAGCAAACCCCTTAATCCCAAACTTTTACCACTTGACCAATCTATTATTGGTTCATCTACATAACATCATTAATAAGTTATATATGTTTTTCCAAATATGTACTTATTTATCATCTAGTCCATTTTAAATGTTGTTTTTGAACATCATATTAAAATGACAATTAATTTTACAGTAAGTCCGTAACTTATATTATGAATTAGGGTTCTACCTAAACTTTATATTATAAAATAAATTAGGGATTTATTACATTTTAAAGTTTCAACATTAGGAGCTATTGAATTTCTAATATCGAGCCAAGAACATTACTGATATGATGTTGTAGTCCAATTCCAAGGATAAGAAGTCAAGATTCCTCTTTTTCATATCATCATTATTATTTTAATAATCTTTTAAAGTTATGTTATTTTTATATAGTTAACAAATAATAATCTTAGGAAAGTATCTTCTCTTCCTTGTTTTGTTACCGTCAGCCGTCAAAAGTATGCTGTTTGCGGACATTATGTACCCGTTTAGCACGCCAGCATTATAAAAATATTAATCACAATTTATTAATATAATAATTTAATTTTTAATTATATGGTAGATTATTATTTTTAAATATATTATTATATTATCTTTGTTTAATTTTAAAATTTTATAATATATCCAGTTTAATGTAATACATTTTTAGTTATTTTATAATAAAATATACTTATAAACCACATTTTATCAAACACGTCAACTATTTATCAATCACTTATGAATACTTTAATCAAACATGTAATTACTTAAAATTTTAAATGTTTATAAACTAAGTATTTGTTGATTATAAACTAATTTTCATAAGTTCGGACAAACCCGACATGAAATACGTTGGATTGGAATTTCCTAAAAATCCGTAAATTATAACCGCTATCAGTGCACTGCACGTGCTAATTTTGTTTCTTTCTTCAGTCTTATAATTATTATATTATATTTTTAAATTACTTATCAGCCCTTTCGCCTCTGTCGTAGTTAAATTTTGACTCATCGAATTCTTGTTAACGAAACGTCATAATAGTCAATTCGACGTAAGAGCAGCCAGTTCGTTACCAAATTTCACTCAATCTCCGCCGTACGATCCACCAATCCCAGCCATTAAACCGATTACATTTTAAAAAAATATAAAAAATAAAATAAAACTTAAAAAACAGCCGCTTAAACAACCCGAAATCATGTCCACACAATCGAAATCCAACGGCTGAACGTACTCGGTACTGTTCCGAAACTTGCTCGACTTTTAACGCACAAACAGTATATATAGGGTGGAAATGGAACGCGCCTCTTTGTTTAATTTCTTCAAAACATTTTATTTTTATTTTTTGTCAAATTTTTTCTATCGTCATCTTATTTACTCGTGTATTCCATTCATTCGTACCATACACGGCGCGTTGCTTACAAGCCAAAAATTTCAATTATTGAAAAAAATATATTAATTAGCTCTTAATCGAGCTGTAATCAGGTGAGTTTAATTTAAATTGTAAATTTCTTATTGATTAAGTTTGGATTTGGTTTTGATATTTTGAGTTCAAATGTTTGGTTAATATGTTTTTAGTTTTGAATTTTAGGTTTGGTTAATTGTTTGAGTTATTGTGTAATTAATGAATAATTAAGCGAAGAGTTATGAATTTGATTGGAATCATGGCAGAGGATTGAAGGCATCTGTTGATCTCAGTGCAAAATATTAAACAAAATGATATTTAATTGTTTTTTTGTTAGCATCACTACGCAGCATGTGAATAAGTACTTGGACTGGTGTTACTGGCACGGAATCAGATGTTATAATTGTGTTTGAATTAGTGTTTCTGTCTATACACAGTGAAGAACTTGTTTTTGAAAGAGAAAAGTTTTAACTTGAAGGTCAACTGTGTAAAGCTGTTGAGAATCTATGAACAAATATTTAAGTGCAGTGATTCATTTATTTATTTATTTATTTGAGAAGATATCAGTATTTATTTGGGAACTCTTTGGACAGAGAGTTGGTTAATTGGCGAGGGATCGCGATACTGTTTCGGATTTATTGTTGGATATATTGTTTTGAGGGAGATGATTATGGAGGAGCAAGATTCAGGTTTACTTCAATGGGGTCTTCATTTTTTTGAATGTGATCCTTATTTGCATTCTGGGTATCATGGTGAGATAGTTCAGCATGATGCTAATGACATCTATAATGGTCAGTATTTCAGAGATCATAGTGATGCAGAGTGTAATCAGGTAGAAAATGATGAGATTATTGCTCGTACCCTTCAAGAAGAATTTTCTCAAGAATTTTCACAATTAGCACTTGCAGAAGACTCTCAATATTCACATGCAGGAGAAGACCACCTGCAAGATTCTGTTCAGGACCATGATTGGCATAATTTGTCCACAAGGAATTATAGTTCAGGTATTCATGAAAGTTGCTAGTTGTACCTCATTTTATTTATGTGGTAGTTATTACCAATATTAAAATTTTTGATAAAATATTCTATTATGAGCAGGATATGAGTGTGGCCAAGATGAATCTGATGATACGGGGCCATCCTGTTCATGTTCTAGCCCTGGAGATGGAGAGGAGGATTCCTATTCCTTGGAGTTACCTAGTGAATATATACTAGATGAGGAAGTGGGAAAGAGGTTGAATCAAATGATTCCTATTCCTGTAAGTTAGCTTATTAAATCTATTATCTCAATCTTTGATTTTCTGTTTTACTTATCTATCAGAGTTATTTGATGGTATTAATTTCAATTTTATCTCATATTTTGTTAATATATGGCACAAATGAGTTATTGAGGATTTGGATGTTCCCGTTTGTCAGTTGCTTTTTTTAATCATGTGCCTTAGCTTGTGGGGGCATTTTTTCATTTGAATGGTGTGCTGTGATCGGGATTCTGAGAAATTTTCTATTCCATTTTCACTGTAAATTTACATTGTACAAGTGATTAAATATCCTTTGTAGCTTATTTAGACTAAACTTAGGTTCTCTATCATATGGAAATATGATAAGTTCTCAAATTAATGCATATCTTCTGCAGTGCATGAGTATCACTGATGTCGAGTATCACTGATGTTTTATGCCTGGACTATTGTACTCATATTTTGTTGCTAATATATAGTCTATTGTCTAAGATATCAGCTGCTTCTTTTTCATAGATTGAGTGCATGGATACTTAGGCTTAAACATCTATTGTCACAGAGCTAAAATCATTGATTGGTAATTTGGTATATGGTATATCAGCGATTTCTCAATGTGTGTGCATATCTGATCCTCGTTTAAATTTTCTTTTTGCATGTAGCATGTTCCTAGAATTAATGGGGAAATACCATCACTTGATGAAGCAACTTCAGATCATGAAAGATTGCTGAACAGGTATTATCAATATTCTTTACCTTGGGAATTAAACTGGATGAATCATAAACCAGAAGCCTATTTCAAATTTTCTTAAACAGTGATAGAAGATATAGAAGGATTATATTGAAATTTTAGTTCAACTGTAATTTGTTTAGAATTTGGTGTAATGAAGTTATTGTTGGCCTTTCTTTGTGGTTTTATCAGAAATGTTTTCTTCTTTTATTGAAGTTGATGCTGTATACCCTTTTTTCAATCTAGATTGCAGTTATATGGCTTTGTTGAGCTTAAAGTCCCAGGAGATGGCAACTGTCAGGTATGTTGCTTTAATCTATCCTTTTTTACTTCCTTTTTTTCCTTTTTCCTTTTTAATCTTAATCTCAAGCATAAAGGTTTATCAGTTTCTATATCTTTAATATGTCTATCACGGGATGTCCATTGCATGTAATGTATAATATTTACTGTTTTTTCTTTCATTTGCCAGTTTCGTGCTTTGTCAGATCAACTCTATAACACACCTGAGCATCACAAATATGTGAGACGACAAGTTGTAAATCAGGTTTGTTGTTCTAGAAGTTAGCTACTAATTTGCAAGTCTAAATTTTGACTTTGTTTTGTCAACCATGGTGTTTACTATATGGATCTTCATGTATCTCTTACTCAAATGGTTTGTTGTCAACAGCTGAAGTCTCATCCAGATATGTATGAAGGATACGTTCCCATGGAGTATGGTGAATATTTAAAGAAGATGTCCAAGTATTAGCCAAACACTTCCCATTATTGATTAAAAATGTTTCTGGTAAGGATGGCCATACTAATACCATTTTTGAATGAAATTAGGAGTGGTGAGTGGGGTGATCATGTCACGCTGCAGGCAGCTGCAGATTCGGTATGGATTTGGGACAATATTTTCTTTCTTTCAAGTTTATTAAGTTCTTATAATGATCCAAGTTTAAATGCTGTTTACTTATCCATTGCTGTAAAATTTATTTAACAGATACAAGTAATAGTAACTCCTTAGTCTTTTTCTTATCAAAAGAAGAAAAAGAAGGGAGGCTAATGCTTTATACATGTTGTGGCACAATAAACTATATTTTATGTTGTAGTTTACACAGTACTGTGCCTCCTTCATCCATTATTAATTCTCGTGGGTCTCTTTTATGGCAGTTTGGTGTAAAAATAATTGTTATTACTTCTTTTAAGGACACCTGTTACATAGAAATTCTTCCCAACACCAAGAAACCAAAAGGAGGTAAATTTTCAATTTGTTTATTTTGAAAGTCTGTCCCCTTTTTTTCCTATTTTCTGGTTTGATGATGGCTTTGATACTTTTCTGCTGAACTTCTGATTAGTCGCGTCTGTAATTCTTTTTTATACTGTTGTATTACTAAGCCAACAGACATTATTTATTGCTCTAGTTTTCTCATCTTGTGAATTTTGGGATTCAATTATTTGAGCCTATTTTAAACATCTATACTACTTGGCTCGTTGCTTATGCTACTTTTATTTTAGTGTCTCAAAAGGTTTTTTATGGTTACTTTGGAGTTTGTTGAGATTAAGATCAGGAAAACTGACATAAAGTAATGCCAAGCTAATTGATTACTTTTTCTGGCACATTATGAGATCAAATCACTCAGATACCACCCTCTAAGCTTTTATTAAATTTCTTTGTATGTATTAACTAAGCATGAAAAACACATTTCCTTGATTTTATATGCATATTAGTTAGATTAGCAAAGAGTTTAATATTGCTACGTCATCATCTTCTGGGCTTATTAAACCTTTTTGTGCAGTTATTTGCCTGAGTTTTTGGGCAGAGGTTCACTACAACTCAATCTATTCTCAAGAAGGTAATTACCTTTATCGACTCTTTCACTGTGTTTTGTGAATTGTGAGCTAAAGGTGTTATTTGAAGTCTAAAGATTTGATTTACATGTNTTCATAGATTGAGTGCATGGATACTTAGGCTTAAACATCTATTGTCACAGAGCTAAAATCATTGATTGGTAATTTGGTATATGGTATATCAGCGATTTCTCAATGTGTGTGCATATCTGATCCTCGTTTAAATTTTCTTTTTGCATGTAGCATGTTCCTAGAATTAATGGGGAAATACCATCACTTGATGAAGCAACTTCAGATCATGAAAGAATGCTGAACAGGTATTATCAATATTCTTTACCTTGGGAATTAAACTGGATGAATCATAAACCAGAAGCCTATTTCAAATTTTCTTAAACAGTGATAGAAGATATAGAAGGATTATATTGAAATTTTAGTTCAACTGTAATTTGTTTAGAATTTGGTGTAATGAAGTTATTGTTGGCCTTTCTTTGTGGTTTTATCAGAAATGTTTTCTTCTTTTATTGAAGTTGATGCTGTATACCCTTTTTTCAATCTAGATTGCAGTTATATGGCTTTGTTGAGCTTAAAGTCCCAGGAGATGGCAACTGTCAGGTATGTTGCTTTAATCTATCCTTTTTTACTTCCTTTTTTTCCTTTTTCCTTTTTAATCTTAATCTCAAGCATAAAGGTTTATCAGTTTCTATATCTTTAATATGTCTATCACGGGATGTCCATTGCATGTAATGTATAATATTTACTGTTTTTTCTTTCATTTGCCAGTTTCGTGCTTTGTCAGATCAACTCTATAACACACCTGAGCATCACAAATATGTGAGACGACAAGTTGTAAATCAGGTTTGTTGTTCTAGAAGTTAGCTACTAATTTGCAAGTCTAAATTTTGACTTTGTTTTGTCAACCATGGTGTTTACTATATGGATCTTCATGTATCTCTTACTCAAATGGTTTGTTGTCAACAGCTGAAGTCTCATCCAGATATGTATGAAGGATACGTTCCCATGGAGTATGGTGAATATTTAAAGAAGATGTCCAAGTATTAGCCAAACACTTCCCATTATTGATTAAAAATGTTTCTGGTAAGGATGGCCATACTAATACCATTTTTGAATGAAATTAGGAGTGGTGAGTGGGGTGATCATGTCACGCTGCAGGCAGCTGCAGATTCGGTATGGATTTGGGACAATATTTTCTTTCTTTCAAGTTTATTAAGTTCTTATAATGATCCAAGTTTAAATGCTGTTTACTTATCCATTGCTGTAAAATTTATTTAACAGATACAAGTAATAGTAACTCCTTAGTCTTTTTCTTATCAAAAGAAGAAAAAGAAGGGAGGCTAATGCTTTATACATGTTGTGGCACAATAAACTATATTTTATGTTGTAGTTTACACAGTACTGTGCCTCCTTCATCCATTATTAATTCTCGTGGGTCTCTTTTATGGCAGTTTGGTGTAAAAATAATTGTTATTACTTCTTTTAAGGACACCTGTTACATAGAAATTCTTCCCAACACCAAGAAACCAAAAGGAGGTAAATTTTCAATTTGTTTATTTTGAAAGTCTGTCCCCTTTTTTTCCTATTTTCTGGTTTGATGATGGCTTTGATACTTTTCTGCTGAACTTCTGATTAGTCGCGTCTGTAATTCTTTTTTATACTGTTGTATTACTAAGCCAACAGACATTATTTATTGCTCTAGTTTTCTCATCTTGTGAATTTTGGGATTCAATTATTTGAGCCTATTTTAAACATCTATACTACTTGGCTCGTTGCTTATGCTACTTTTATTTTAGTGTCTCAAAAGGTTTTTTATGGTTACTTTGGAGTTTGTTGAGATTAAGATCAGGAAAACTGACATAAAGTAATGCCAAGCTAATTGATTACTTTTTCTGGCACATTATGAGATCAAATCACTCAGATACCACCCTCTAAGCTTTTATTAAATTTCTTTGTATGTATTAACTAAGCATGAAAAACACATTTCCTTGATTTTATATGCATATTAGTTAGATTAGCAAAGAGTTTAATATTGCTACGTCATCATCTTCTGGGCTTATTAAACCTTTTTGTGCAGTTATTTGCCTGAGTTTTTGGGCAGAGGTTCACTACAACTCAATCTATTCTCAAGAAGGTAATTACCTTTATCGACTCTTTCACTGTGTTTTGTGAATTGTGAGCTAAAGGTGTTATTTGAAGTCTAAAGATTTGATTTACATGTCATTAGGAAAACGTTTGGGTTGATTCCATTGAACAACAGAACTAAAATATTAGATGATAAATATTGTGTAATGAGAAGATTCTTAAAATTATAGCTTAATCCTGACAAGTGAAGATGGAATTAAATCTTAGATTTGGGTTTTCAGATATACCTTTGCGGGAGTCTAGACGGAAGAAAAGATGGTGGAACTTTGGGAATTAGCATATAGAATGTCAAAGTAGCTTGTGGCATACTTCTCTCATTTTGTTGAATTCTGCCGTTGCTGCTCGACTTTTCTGTGTGGGTCTACTTCTTGGAGCAAGAATTTGCCTTTTCATGTTCATTTTCAAAACATTATATATTCCCCTTTTTTTCTCGCAGTTTTGCATGCATATGTATAGCAATGCAAGCAATGCAAGAGCCGGCTTATCAAATACAATTCTTTGCTTCATTTATTCACGGTTATGTGTTGAATTATTTAAGTGGCATAATATTTTATTGTATGATGAATTTACAATAATCTTAATCTGAAAAGCCCATATATACTAACATATATAATTATGTCCAAATACAATATGTAGATTATGGTTGCCGAGTGAATTTCAAGATTTTTCATTTTCTTCCTCAGTGGAATACCGTTTTGAGTATTGATTTTTATTTTTTATTATTTTTTAACGCAAGATGCCTTTTCGAGGCTTGGTAGGGCTCTTGTACACGACATTTGTAGCTTTTCTGGTAAAATTCTAGATGAAATTTGTCCTGTTTTTTATCCCAAGGAATATTAAGGACAATTCAGTATGGTGGACATAGGCGAACTGGGTAAAGGTAAAGGACAAGACTAAAAAGCAGTGTTCTAAAAATCAGACCGGACCAGCTGTTCGGATCGGTTTGACTGGGAATCAAAACTAGAAGATTCATCGGCACCTCTACATCAAAAGTTCCATCATTCCAAACTTCGATTGGCCATCGATCACCGTCCACCATTGTTCACGCAACTGTCGACTTTCTTTCTTGATTCTGAAAAAGTTCGATACCAGTATAACTTCCTGACACCACAATAGAACCTATACATCAAAAGTCCCATCATTCCAAACTTCGATTAACCGTTGATCATTGCTGCCGTCATCACTCACAAGTCTCTTTGTGCAACAATGGTGTTTTGGATAGATTTCAAACCTTAAGGGAGTCATAGAATTATTTAGGAGTGTTTTTGATGAATTTCAAACACTTAGGGACTAAAAAACTTTTACAGTATACTGTCTAACCGACCAATCCAACCATAACCGGACTCTTGAGCGGGTCAAGTCCAGCTAAAAAGTAAAAAGTGACAATTAGGTGCACCTGAAGAAGATTACGTACCGGTACAGTGATAAAACTTAACCAAATATCTCTAGTAAAAAAGTAATACTATAGTAACCGCAAATGTGCAACAAACTACAAATTTATAGACTGAATAACTGTTAATTCATTATAAATTAATATTGTAATTTTTGATAACTCTACCGCTTTCCTAGTAAAATTAGAAACGAATTCGGATTTCTTAATGAAGTTCCTAATCGAAATCTAATTAAATATGGCCACGGATGAATCCGTGTTTGTGAATGCAGCCATATCGCCATCATCGGCGAAAGAAGGATAACGGCCATTTGCATTCCTCAACTCCTCACTGCACATATTATATTCCTCTCAAGTTTCAAATTATTCTTAAATGATGGTCCTATTTTCTCCTTTATCTCAACCACTCGAAACAAACTCTCGCTTTTAAAAAGGAACCCATCTCCATTGCTACTAAAATTTTAAATTTTTACATCTTTCTTCTTACTAAAACCTTTACCTACAAAACATAATAAACGAGAAACCCCATAAGAGGAGAAAGACAGAGAGAGACTGAACAGTACAACTGCACTAAGCCCAAAAGCAATAAAACCCATGTTACTGTTTATCTGTAAACTACATCTACTTTTCTCTAATATCTATTTATTGACGTTCTCCGATCATCTCCTCTTGCCGTCTCCTCTCCTCCGCTTCCTCCGCCACGGCAGGCTGCAACAGAAGAGCCGTGAACGGCATGTGCCGATACCCATTTCCAGCATACTGTAATCCCAAGGGCTGGCACAAGTCCAGCCGACAGCTCGGGGGTGGGGCCGCAACGAACATCCCCGGGGCCGCAGAGCTGACGGGTTGAACCCGACACGGCACCGACGGCGGCGACGATGAAATAGGTGCCGGCCCCGCCGTGGAAGCCGATACGGCGATAGCAGGAACTGTTCCGGTTCCCGTCGCGGCGATAATGGAGGGCTCCGCCTGGCGTAGGAGCCACTCAATAGTCTCCCCGTCGGAACGGTGGCCGAGTTCTCGGGTCAGCTGGAAGATCCTAGCCGCACAGAGGGCCGGCATCCGTACACGGCGGCCCCGGCCGTTGACCTTGGTATGGCGGTCCCTTGAGGCAGTGGTGGAAAGGGCGCGTTTCCGTGGATGGGCCAGTTGGTTCTTGGGTGGCGAATGGTTCGCAACAGAAGTGGTGGTGGTAGCGTTGGTGGTAGTGGTGGTGGAAAGATTAAGCTTTTGTTGGGTATGAAGTGGGATGTCTGAGGCCATTTAGGGTTTAAAACCAAAACAAAGAAATAAAAATGGAGGAGAAAATTTAGGGTTCGAGAAAAAAGAGAACAAGGGAGAGAGAAGAGGAAGAGGGTGTTTTTTGAGGATTCGATTAACCTCACAAAGAAGAGGTGGGGGCTATTTAAGATGGAGAGTGAGTTGTGGGGTCTTATTTAGCTGACGTGTTAAAAAGTGAGAGGTATCAAACTTTGGAATGGGGCCTACCAATCAGATGGTAGAGTTAGTGGGGCCCGAATGTAGACGTGGAGAATCCCTGTGAGGTTGATGCCATTTGACATTTTGGTATTTCAGTCTCACCATAAAGTGCGTACGGACCAATTCCCAAAAGCTCACTCGCAAAGATAATTTTTAAATTTTAATATTATTGAAAATTAAAAAGAACAATACTGTCTTTATAATTGAATTATATCATCTGATAAAAAATAAAAAATAAAATTTTATTTGAGCATATAACTAAGTTAAATGACTCAGTTACAGTTATAAGTAAATTATTATTAAATTAAAAATTATCTACCGTAAATTTGTAATTATTTTGCAGGATAACGAAGGTTACTATAACGTCAGCAACTGAGGGTCAAAAAGTGAAAAAGCTTTTGTTGGAGTTGATGAGCCACGCGCTTATATTTGCTGTGCTGCTTATTGTCTTAAATTTGGTGAGCTTTCTGACACATTGACCGAACTTCAAATATCGAAATTTAAATTTAATTCTCAAATTTACCCTTGATTCCCATCTGCTCTGATAATTTTAATTTAATTTAAATTATTGAATATTACTTAATGATTTTAAGTTTTAAATTAAATAATATTATACTTACATGTCTGAAATTACCCTTTCAAGTTATGAATATAAAGTAAAAAAGAATTTTTTTTCTTTCTAAGATTAGAACTTAAGGAAGAGATTATAAAATGGTTAATTTAGGAATATATTATTTTATTTTATCGATTTAAAGAGTTACTATGGGCTCAAATAACATCAGTTTTAGCCCAAACCTATCTTAAGTCTTAACCCATGATTAAGGCCCAAATACCAAGTCCCAACACATGGGCCACAGTCCATAAAAAGATCAAGATCAGTTATAATGCAGTAGCCTAATAACGTAGCACATGGTCCAAAACTTCACAAAGTCAATGCTGACTGGAACGACGCCGTTTCGAAAGTGAAAATATCCCAAATTCCCAATAGAAAAAGATATAAAATGAAAGAGAGAATAGAGAAAGCCCAAGTCCAACCTGATCCTTTCAGGCAATGTTGTATGAATTTTGAGGCGTGAAATAGCCTTCTCATTTCTCAAAGCGGTGGACTTCACTTCACTTCACACCTTTCTCTTCGTATTTATCTTCAAACACATTACACAACACAACACAACACAAACACTTTTACATTTGTAATGAATTCTCAGTTCTGTAGTTAGTTAGTTAGTTAGTTAGAGATTCTTTATAACTAATATTTAATGGAAGCTGGACGAAATTTGCTATCTTCACCTCCATCATTTCCTTCAAGAACCCACCTCAAAAACACCTCTTCTTCTTCAGGTAACAAATGTTGCAAATCTTTAAGCTTTCTTGTTTCTTTGCCGCCCCATTTGGTTATTTGTTAAATTTAGTGTGTAATTTTTGTGGTCGCCATTTCATTTTTTAGCGGCTTTGTATTTCTTTTCTACTAAAGTTTTTTACTTGGCGAACGGGAGTTAAAAGGAAATGGGGATGTGAAGTTTGAGTTATTGTGTTTAGTGGGTTAATGATAATATGTTAGTATGAGTTTTAAGTACAAGACCAGGTTACATTTGGTTTTGTTGTTTCATTTGTGATGACGGATTTATTTGAAGCATGGTGGAGCATTTTATTCTTAAATAGGATTTACACAGTTCACCTTTATGTTAGATGTTTTCCTTCTTGATTAATTTCTTGAATTATCTTGTTTTAGTGTGTGTATGTGTTCCGGTATTTGTTGGTGTAAGTTTTAGGGATTGTGTTAAACGTTTACCTAAGCAGCCAATGTTAAGGAAACACTTAAGGTTTCAGCATTGAGTCATTAAAAGACAGGTGTTTGCCGTTGATGCATTGAAATGTGCATCAATTAATCGTTTTGAAACTTCGATGTTCAGAATCTTTCTTAACGCGTATCCTTAGGACATACATTTGGGAGCCTAAAGTAAAATTATATATGGAGGTATGGAAACACACATATCTTTTATCGGTGATTCAGAGGTTTCATGTTCTTGTGCTACATCTTTGTTTAATGCTTGAAATTAGAAGGAAATGCTGGCATCTGGTTAATTGTTATTAATTTGTAAGACTCTTTAATAAATATTTGATATTCACGTAGTTTGTTAAAGATTTATGGTGATCTATTCTGTATTTTTTTTTTTTTTTATAATTAATTAATTTTTTAAATAACACCCTGCACGGTTGTGTGCGTATTACTGCAGTTCTGAAGCTTCATGAGCAAGCTGCCCCCACAATGTCTTCTGTTCCAACTTTTACAGTAGCTCGACATTTTCCTACATCAGTTCTTTTACAAGAGCAGCGCGATGAATATAGGCCGATCTTACACATGTCTAAGGAAGACAAAACGTCTATGGTTAGACATTCTTGTCTATATATGAATGCATTTTGAGTTAGAAATATTTAGGTATAGCAATGCATCTTTTCTTTTCCTTCACATGGTTGACAACTTGTTTGTTTTTCTACTTCATGTATCATCATTGTTTGCCTTACTTCTGCTCCATTGCAGCCAACTATGGATAGGAGGCAGTTGGAGACTGGGGCCTCAGTTCTTGAAGAGAACTCCAGCAACTTGGATCAATTAGTGCAGGACTTTGAGCACCAATTGCTTCACTTGCCTGGTTTATGGAATTTGTAAGATGAATGGAAATATTTAATTTTTGTTTCTTCTGGTTGCAATTTTGCCTCTGAACTGGATGTTATGTGGTTCTGTAATTTCTCTTGCAGATTGCGACCTGGACAAACAGGGGTAAATAATTCCTTGTCAACTATGCAGTCTAGTACAAGTAACACTGAGGAGTTTGAACCATTTAATGCAGTTGCCCTTGCTAGGAAGGCTTTGTCAGCATCGAAAGAAGCAGCCTCATTAGCTGAGAACCCCAAGTTAAATGGAGCTGAATCTGATGATATAATTTCAACCAGGTACTTGTTATTAAGTGTTTACGGGCATGTTTCTCTGTTACTTTGCTATTATTTTGAGGTCAATTTCTCTGAGGACTAAGATTCTTAATTTGGCTCTACTAGTTCATCAAATTTTCCTCTCAACGAGGTGAAAACCGTTCGGTCAACCCGGCGTTTGGAGAGACGGTCAAAGAAAAGGAGGGTTTCTAAACCACAAGTTATGGTTCCTGAAACTTATAGGTCTAAAAAGTCAGATGTGCAGAAAAAGTTAAGTGAAGGGTTTAATCCTAATGATCCTCTCCGATTGTTCTTGTGGGGTCCCGAAACAAGACAACTTTTGACTGTGAAAGAAGAATCTGAGTGCGTTGCTCAAATACAGGTGTTTTCTAACTCCTTTTTTCTTTGTAGTAAATGATTAATTTCCAGATGGTCTTATTTATGAGAAATGTAACAGAATTTGATGAGATTGGAGAAGGTGAAGAGTAAGCTTGAATCTCAGTTTGGTCGTGAACCCACCTTGATTGAATGGGCTGATGCTGTTGAGCTTAATTGTCGGGACTTGCAGTCAGAACTTCAGTCTGGTAATAACAGCAGAGAGAAGTTGATCAATGCAAATTTACGCTTGGTTGTTCATGTTGCCAAACAATATCAAGGCCGTGGTCTCATCCTTCAGGACCTATTGCAGGTTAATCAGAAGACATTTAATATTGGAAATTGCCTTTAGTTTTGTTCAATATCATTGATCAGAGTAAGCATGTGACTCTGGATCACTTTAGTAGAAAGCTTAAAATTTGATGGCTGCTAGCAGGTCCTGAGATAAAAGTAGATAAAAGGTTTGGAGCCTTGTGGTTTTTTAGTTTATTTCAATATCATTGATCAGAGTAAGAAAGTGAATGTGGATCACTTTTGTAGAAAGCTTAAAATCTGATGGCTGCTAGCAGGTCCTGTGGGAACAGAAGAAAAAGGGTTTAAATCCTTATGGTTTGTTATATATATATATATATATATATATATATAGCGGGGCTCATGAACACCACTTTTGTGACATAAAATTTGACACAAGTTTGAGTCTTAGGATCAAGGCACTTTGAAAGTTGAGAGTCCATGCAACTTGCATAATTAAAGCACCTTGGACATGGCAATTTAAATGCCCTCTTAATCATTTAAATGTATCAGTCTAACAACTCTAAAATTGTGTCAAAACTTGTGTAAAAAAAGTGGGGCTCTTGATCCTAGTGTACCTATATATGTATAGATAGATGAAGGGGGTGTTCAGGTTTGGGGTTAAGAGTTCCTTCAAACTGACTAGATGAATTTTAGGATGCTTCCCTAATATTGTTTTGGATATTCGAGCTCTGTCTCTTGCATGAGTTTTCCTACAAACTGGGGTACCGTTATATTTTGTTCTTAGAAAACCAAATGATCATATTATCAATTATTAATCTGTCACATTAACATTTTTATTCTTGATTGCAAAGAACAGGAAAAGAAATTGAAACCTAGGTTATTATTTTTTGTGAACTTCATGACCATGAAAAATAAAATTCTATCAGAAACATCTCTGGATACAAAAGAACGGAATAATTTTGTTCAGAAGTTAACTAATATAATTCTGTTTCTTTGTTAAACTATTTTAGGAGGGGAGTATGGGTCTTATGAAGAGTGTTGAGAGGTTCAAACCCGATGCAGGTTGCCGATTTGCCAGCTATGCATACTGGTGGATAAGGCAGACAATTAGGAAGGCGATATTTCAACATTCTAGGACAATCCGGTTGCCGGTAATGACAATTGCCTTTTCTCTTTAATCCATAAATGTGTATTGGTTTATTGGTGTTCCTTTGGAAAGACTTGGATGGGTTCAAATCCATCAAAGTTGTTGGACATATATTTTTTCTTATGTATGCAAACAGGGCTTTGATACCTGTGAGAGAATTTTTTTATTATTTGCAGGAGCATGTATATACCCTCCTGAGCAAGGTACTGGAAGCAAAAAGATTATGCATTCAAGAAGGAAATCATTGTCCGAATAAAGAAGAATTGGCGATACGTGTTGGAATTACAGTTGAGAAGTTGGATAACTTGTTATTTTTCACAAGAATGCCACTCTCCATGCAACAGCCTGTTTGGGCAGACCAAGATACTACTTTTCAGGTAATGGTGCTTGCCAAAATTTCCATCTGACTATGCAAGATGAGGATTTTTTTTAAAAAGAAAGTCTTCTTTCCTTGATCCCTACAACTTCTGTTTCCATTACATGGTATTTGCAACTGATTTGTGAGCAAACAAGATAGGAGTCTGATGAGTATATACATACTTGGGTATTTGGAAAATTGCTATGTAGGTTGGCATATATTTGCAAAATTGTTGTAATGTTTGAGAAATCGATTTCAGCCACTTAATGATCTAGACTAGCAGAAATTTGTTAAAAAAGTTTTCTCAAATATATTGACGAGGAAAGCACTTAGCAAACATTTGGAGTTGTGTTATTTGATTCAGAGGACTGTTTCAAACATGTTTTACTCAGTCTAAAAGGATCATAATATTACTATCTGTATGTATATATATTTGGATTGGACAATTATTCAAGTGCTGGTATAGTATATGCTCTAATACCTTTTCTTCTATATATGAATTCTCGTCATTATTGATCTGAGTGAGGACTGCTAAGACTAGTGGCTACTGGAATATCAAAGTTATTACAGATGGAGATTTGGCCAATTTTGGTTTATGATATCTTTCTTAATCTTTCTTAAAGTTATTGTTTGCATAAATGTTCTGTACTTTCTCAGGTTAAAGAAATCAGTATCATAACAATCTCTTGTAATATGCAGGAGATAACTGCAGACACTGGGATTGAGATCCCAAACATTAGTGTGGCAAAGCAATTGATGAGGCAGCATGTGCGCAACCTTCTAAACGTTCTAAACCCCAAAGAAAGACGAATAATCAGGCTAAGATTTGGCATTGAAGATGGGAAACCGAAATCACTGTCTGACATCGGGAGCATGTTTGGATTATCCAAGGAAAGAGTTCGGCAACTGGAGAACCGAGCTGTATACAGGCTTAAACAGTCCCTTGGCAGTGAAGGACTAGCTGGATATGCAGATTTACTTGTTTAGATATAAAAACGAAGCTATATTGTTCATTTTATTTATAAAGTGACTTTAGGCTTGAAGGTCTTGTATTTTGCATATGAACTAGCTTACGACAGCGTTTCAAGTGCTTCAAGGATGAAACATTGTAACATTATTTTCCACGCATGAAAATCAGTGTTTTAATAAATAACCCGGGGTGAAACCCGGCAAAGTTGTCAGATCTTGGGTTGGCCGGTTTACTCGGTTTGACCGGTTGATCAAACCAGGCGTCAAAAAGTTTCAACTTTAGCAAATATACCCCTAAAAATTATGTTAAGCCCATACAAGTTTAAAATTTAGCAAACAAACTCCAAATAAAAATTGACAGTTAATTGTTTGGTGATAGCGATACACCAAATGCAATTCCAATTATCTTTGAGCCAATTTCTCATAAAATCTATCCAGGATCTGGTCGAAATTGGTTCGAGTTTGGTCAAATCTCACAAACCCCAACTTCGACAATCCAGTCTAGATCTTATCACTATCGATGTCGACAACCCTCTCCATAATCACAAATATTCTCCACTTAGCCTCCTAATCAAAACCATCTCTCTCTATAATCACAAATATTCTCCACTTAGCCTCCTAATCAAAACCATCTCACCCACCCTTGTTCGCATAGCCAATAGCTGGCAAAAGTGGGTTGTTGTTTTCATCGGTTTTTTTAGATTTTGAGTCGATTTGCTTACCGGAAATTACCTCTGTCGTCACTATTGCACTCACTAGTCCTTCCTCTTCTAAAGCCTCAACATTCTGACCTTCAATTGTACGTCAATTATCATCTTAATTTTTAGGGTTTTTGGTGAATAAGAAAATTGGTAACCGAACTCGAAACCTGGTTGAGCCTGTTCAAGTGTTCAACAAGCCGGCTGGGTTTTAAAACACTGGTGAAAAATAAAAAAGAGAAATCTCTAATCTGTAATCATTCTAAGACAGATTCTAATCGAGCCAAAGCTGATATTCTGTAGTTTTTTTTTTTTTTTTTTTGGGTGAAAGACAAACAGAAGGGTTTAATTTCATTTTACAAGCAAAAGGAAAAGATGATCTTTCTCGGTAAAAGAAAAAGAAAATAAAAAACTCCATATGGGTCAGAAGTCTTAATGTCTTATGCAAACACGAAGCTCGCGTGTTGTATAAAACAAAAGAGCTTCCATAAATAAACAGTTTCCTTGCGAACCCCACAAGAAAAGACTCATCACTCTGCCATGATCTAATCAGCGGAGATTACACATTTCACAGATGGCCCATTTCGTGTTCAAGAAATCTAAACCAAACCATAGCTGGCAAAAAGTTAAAAGAAAAAACTGAAACCCAGTAATTTCCCTGAAAATGGAGGGGCCTACGAGATCGTAACTTTTGTCACTAAGCCTGTCATTCCAGCTTCATTTTGAAATTGCAGAGTCCGGACACAACCGTTTTAGTTTAAAGGTTGCTAATGAAATGCAATTAAACGCGTAAATAATTTTATTGCAAGTGCTCACTTTGATGATGGCTATTTCTGCTGTTCACGCACAATCACTTCTCCCAGTTAATTAAACTCTGGTTAGTCTTTAATGACTTGAAGAAATTTGCAGGCAGGTCACATTTATTTTGACTTGAGTGTTGTTACTGACACTCTACCAACTCTACTGAGAAGGGCATGGAGTATGGTGAATTTCTCCCACTCTACCTGGCTCAGTTTCTTGTAAAATCCCACTTTTGCAGTTTTGAACTGACAATACACCAAGTCTCTAGCGTGCTGGAATGGTGAACATTATGTTATGTCAATTTTTCTTTGGTTCTCTCTCTTGTCTTCTTACCTTCTTGTTGCTTGAATAAGTAGTGGATTAGAAGGTGATACTTTGAGAGTTGATATCCTTTTCTTCTCTGCGTTCATTGAAGCCCTTTACTGCGTGCATTTTAGCATCCCCACGACTGAGTTTAAAACAGTAAGTATGTGCGTTTGAACATTTCTTTTTATGCTTGAACAATAATATTTGCAGTCATTGTGCTTCCTTTTTGCCTTCATGCTTTATGCGTATTTAACTCCCTCAAAATCTGGAGAAAGAAAGTAATAGTAATAAAAAAAAAAAAATGGTGTAGTCATTCAAATAAATATAAGATGAGTTCACATATTTTATCTGCTACCTTATTCTTGAGTCTTCGCTAATCTTTATGTGTACTGTGAACTGCTTCTGGCCTGAAACAAGTATTTGCTTCTTGCCATAGAAGTTTGAAACTCTGTTCTGCAGTGAAACGCTTTGTAACCACTCTGACAGCTTCGTTTTTATCTACCCATTGCTTAATATCCTCCAAATCTGTAGAAAAAGGACAAACGTATTTTAGAAACCACACCAATAAATATACGTTCTGCAAGTTTAACGGGTAATATTGCAGATAAATTCACCAATATTTAATTTCATTTTAGGAAAAGAATTGCAGATGGAATTCCATCACCATGTTGATCTTATTTTTATACAATTTGAAAGTCTTTGTTTATTAGTTATCATGGTTTCCTATAGAAGAAAATAAGATTAATTACCATGGTTTACTGCAGGTAGATCATTCACCTTTCAAGATGACTTCTTCAAGTTGTTCCAAGTTGAGGTTGTTCTTGGTCATATTGTTATGTTCTTCAGGCCCATACGCTGAAGCTTCAGAATTTGAAGGACTAATGGCATTCAAATCTGGTCTAACCAATGCTGAAGGGATTGCTGATTGGGGTAAAGAACCATCACCCTGTTCATGGACCGGGATTACTTGCAAAAAGGCCAGTGTTGTTACTCTTTCTCTACCCAATCTTGGTCTGCGAGGGTGGCTTCATTCATCGCTGGCATCCTTATCAAATCTTGAAGTTCTAGACCTCGCAGATAATGAATTTTCAGGTCCGATCCCATCACAGTTATGGAAACTCATAAAGCTCAAAACCCTTGATCTGAGCTTCAACTTTCTCAATGGAACTCTGTCTTCTGATGTCCAGAACCTCAGAAAGTTGGAAAATATGAACCTTGCCTCCAACAGAATCTCAGGCAGATTAAGCCCTGCTATATCCTCTTGTTCCAGCCTTCGAAACTTGAATCTGAATTCAAATTGGTTCTCAGGATATATTCCCGAGCAATTATCTCAGCTATCCAACTTGCAAGTGCTAGATTTGGGAATGAATACGTTTTCGGGTGCAATTCCATCAACCATCGGAAATCTTTCTGGCCTTCAAGTTCTCGATCTTAGTAATGGCCTCCTTTATGGTAGCATACCCATCAGTATTGGGCAACTAACAAGATTGCAGAATTTTGATATCTCGAACAACTCCATAACAGGGCCTATTCCTTTCAGCATCGGGGAGACTATGGCACTAAGGTACCTTCGAATTGGAAATAACAGGTTTTCTAGTTCGTTGCCTCAAGCAATTGGCAATCTGACAAACCTGATCAGCCTAGAAGCTCCTTCTAGCACTCTCAAAGGTCCAATTCCCAAAGAAATTGGCAATCTAAGAGGTCTAACAAAACTTGACCTCTCTGGAAATCAGTTACAATCACCAATACCCCCAGCTATTGGGAAGTTGCTGAACCTCACATATCTCTTCATCAGTAATGCAGAAATAAATGGGACAATTCCACCTGAGCTGGGTAACTGCCGCAAGCTAAAAACTGCTGTCTTGAGCTTTAATGATCTTTCTGGACCATTGCCAGAAAGTCTAGTAAGTTTGTCAGAATCTATTATCTCTTTCAGCATTGAAAAGAATCAGATTGGAGGGAAGGTTCCAGCTTGGTTGGGCAAATGGCATTTTGCTGAATCTATTTTATTGGCATCAAATAAGTTCCATGGAAGGATACCCCGAGAAATTGGCAACTGTTCATCCCTAACTTACCTTAGCCTTAGCCATAACCAATTATCTGGTATAATTCCTTCAGAGCTTTGCAACTGCAAATTCTTGTCTGATCTTGATCTTGAGAACAATTACCTGAGTGGATCAATCAAAGAAACATTTCAAAATTGCAAAAACCTCTCCCAACTTGTTCTTGTCCAAAATCTACTTACTGGTACCATCCCTGCATATCTAACTCATCTTCCACTTCTGAGTCTAGAGCTTGATTATAACAATTTCTCAGGAGGAATTCCTGAGGAGATATGGAGTTCTAAAACACTATTGGAGTACAGTGCAAGTTTCAATTTCCTTGGAGCAATATTATCTGCAAAGATTGGCAATCTTGTTACTCTTCAACGCCTTGTCTTGAATAATAACCGACTGCAAGGCAGAGTCCCAAAAGAAATCAGAAATTTGCAGGAGTTATCGGTGCTCTCTCTTAGCCAGAATATGCTATCTGGAGAAATACCCAATGAACTATTTACATTGAGGTCTTTAACAAGCTTGGATCTTGGGTTTAACAACTTCACAGGAATTATTCCAGAAAATATTCAGGATCTGAAAGAATTGGAATACCTGATTCTCTCGCACAACCAATTATCAGGTCCACTTCCAACGGGGCTAACAGAGGGCTTCCAGCAAGCTCTGATTCCTAGAATGAGTTATCAACAGCATCGGGGAGTTTTAGATCTCTCTATGAACAGGCTCTCTGGCTTGATACCTGAACAACTTGGAAACTGCTCTGTGATTGTAACTTTACTGCTTGCAAACAATAACTTCACTGGAAAGATCCCAGCATCGATTTTTCGACTCCCACAACTTGTTTCGATCGATGTTTCTTCAAATAGATTGGAAGGCAAGCTACCAACTGAGGTAGGAGATGCAGAGAAGCTTCAAGGTATGAACCTGGCACGCAACAACCTAAGTGGACAGATTCCTTCAGAAATTGGAAAGCTTCAGCACCTGGTCAAGCTTAACCTTTCAGGGAATCAGCTAAAAGGTGAAATTCCTCCATCCACTGGCAATCTGAAAAGCCTTTCTGATCTGGACCTTAGCAACAACTGTCTCTCAGGTGAGATACCATTTTCTCTTTCAAAATTGGAAAACATTGTTGGCCTTTACATGCAAGAAAACAAACTCTCAGGGAATCTCGGTCAGTTACTAAGGAAGAGCTCATCATGGCACCAAATTGGTACCTTGAACTTGAGCATAAACAAGTTAAATGGAGAAATTCCAAGTTCGATCGCAGATCTTCCTTACCTGACTTCCCTTGATCTCCATAATAATAGACTATCAGGTACTATACCTAGATACCTCAGCAATCTATCTCAGCTTCAGTACCTTGACATTTCCGAGAACTTCTTCCATGGGCCAATTCCTCATGAGTTATGTGACCTCACAGAATTAAGATACTTGAACCTTTCAAGCAATCTGTTACAGGGCCAAGTCTTCAAGTGCATAAAATTCCGTGAAAGTTCTACTCCACAGACTGGTTATTTTTGGGGATCTTCAACAAAAGAACACGGCAAAACTAGACTCTGGTGGAAATGCTACTTACTTGAAATTCCAGTGCTCTTAGTTTTGACGCTTTGCACAACGATTTCCATTTTATGGCTATTTCTTGTTTTCCTGAAAAGGAATACCCTAAAGTTGGGTAGTGTGAAGTATCTCTCCAAAAGCCGAGATAATTTGAATGATAATAGAGGTACTATGTTAAAGCAATCCTCGCTGCAGCTAACATTCTCAGATGTTGCCCGCATTACAAATAATTTCTCTAAATCCAATGTGGTTGGTGATGGAGGTTCAGGTACAGTTTATAGAGGCATCCTCCCCAGTGGGCAGTTGGTTGCAGTCAAGAAGCTAGGAAAAGCAAGAGACCAAGGAAGCAGGGAATTTCTTGCTGAGATGGAAGCAATAGGAAAAGTGAAACATAATAACTTAGTTCCACTACTTGGGTCTTGTTCATTCAGAGGTGAAAAGGTTCTGATATATGAGTTCATGGTGAATGGAAGTCTTGACTTGTGGTTAGGGAACAAGCCTGGGGCTCTGGGAACATTGGACTGGGAAACCAGGATAAAAATTGCTTTAGCAGCGGCAAGGGGTCTTGCCTTTTTGCATCACAGTACCATTCCTCCTGTTATTCATCGGGATGTTAAGGCCAGTAACATACTTCTGGATCATAATTTTGAACCTCGGATTGCTGATTTTGGATTAGCTAGGACTCTCAGTGGCTGTGAAACCCATGTAACCACTGAAATTGCAGGTACATTCGGATATATTGCACCTGAATATGGTCAAAACTGGAGATCCACAACAAAGGGTGATGTGTATAGTTTTGGGGTATTAGTGCTAGAGCTTGTCTCAGGGAAGGAGCCAACTGGTTTGGAATTTAAGGATTTGGAAGGGGGAAATTTAGTTGGTTGGGTGAGAGTGATGGTGGAAAAGGAAAAAGAAACTGAGTGTTTAGATGGGAAACTCTGCAAGGAGAGTGAAGCAACGTCCAAAATACTTAAGCTGCTACATCTGGGTCTGCAGTGCACCAATGAAGATCCACTAAAAAGGCCAACAATGCAAGATGTTGTCAATTGTCTTGAATATATTGCAGTGAACTATTAGCTTTTGTTCACTAGTTATCTTATGTTTGCCCTTATGCAACGATATTCTGTACTGCAATAAAACCCAGTGAATCATTCCATAGTTCGCAAAAAGCATCATTGACGAATCCACTAAGTTGCTTTATGCTGATGGTCATTAGCATACAGTGGACACTAGTTCAACAAACCCAGGCAACCAATTTATAATTCAGGAGCTCTTATGACTTCAGATTTCCGTTTAAGCACTGCCAGAAGAAGCCCAAAATGAGTGTTGCAAAAAAAAAAAAATTCTTTCTGGAAATGGTCTGAATCCCTAATGAGATCAAAGCAAAATGTAAACATGTCAGCAGTTAGAAGTAATTCCGACGATTAATAATGTTAGTGAGAGTAAGTGAAATTAAACAAATGATAAGCACAAGGTATATTTCAACGTTACAGTTTTTCCTGTTAATTCTTATTTTTATTTATTATCAAAAGATTGAAGTCAGATGCAGTCCCCAAAACCAAATTTTAAAAAATAAAATAATAATAATAAAAAAAAAAATAAACACCAATAATTTAGTCTTAGAGAAGCGTACTTCTTTAGCCTAAAAGAAACTGAGATCTCCCAGGTTTGCAAGATCCTGTAATTTTTCACAAATTTGAAGAATACTGCAAATATTGGGGAGTTGATAAATTAGCAATTTCAATTCCTTTTTGCATCAAATCCATACACCAAAGGCTACAGACAACTCAACTCCTACCTTACCCAACATCAACATTTCCACACACACTAAGACGTGATTTCAAATTGCTGTCACCATAAATAGATTACAAAAGGTAATCATAGGCTTGACATGTCATCAGCTGGTTAGGGATAAACCATCCAATTTTTTAATAGTACATTCACTGTCATTGAGTACCCTTTAATACTAAGTCCTGGCTGTATGAAGGCTACCAACAAGTGAAGTATACACTCTATTGTCAGGTGTAAGGCCAGCCTCAATCATCTCATCATACAATCTGAAAGCTTCATCTGATCTCCCCTCCTTAGACAGACCAGAAATCATTACTGTGTATGTGACTACATTTTGAGTTAAACCCCTCTGTTTCATTTCATTAAACAGTCTTAGTGCTTCATCTAATTTCCCAAATATGCATTCACCATGTATAAGGGATGCATATGTGTATTCATCTGGCATCATCCCAACTGCTTCCACCTCAGCTCTAAGGTTATGAGCTTCCTTCATCTTCCCTTTCTTTGTATAACCATCAATCAACGCATTGTATGCAGCAGTATTGGGTCTCTCTCCCTGCAATTTCATCTCTTTAAATAGCGTCTTTGCTTCCTCTAAGTTCCCTTGCTTGCAAAAAATGTCAATCAAAGTAGTGAAGTTCACCACATTAAGAGCTAAACCCCTTTCCATCATAGTGAACAACCACCTTTTTGCTTCCTCAAGCCGCTTCAATTTACACAGGCCACTGGCAATCGTATTATAAGAAATCACATCAATCTCCAAACCTTTCTTTTCCATGATAGCCTGCATTTCTAAGGCTTCATCTATCATACCCTTCATACAGTAACCATTCATAATTGTATTGAATATCACTTGATTCGGATTAATTCCTTGGCTTTGCATGTCTTTTACCAACATCATAGCCGCCTCCATCTGCCCGGCCTTGCAAACACCATCAATCAAAGCCCCATAAGTGTGAGAATTTGGAACAAGGCCTCTCTCAGTCAACTCATCAAATAGGGCAAATGCTCTTTTCATATTTCCAACCCTACAATTCCAACTAATAACTGAAGTATACACATGAACATCAGCTTCCATCCCTCTCTCACGCATTTCATCAAACACTCTCTCAACTTCACCAATCCTGCCTGAACGCCCATACCATTCTATCAAAAGCGTATATGTAGCAGCATTATAAGCCACTTGATCACTCTCCATCAAGCTCAACATCTCATTAACACCCACAAAATCCTTTCTTTTAATATACCCATTTATAAGCGTATTATAAGTAAAAACATTAGCTTTAATCCCTTTACCAATCATTTCATCCATCAAATCCCTAGCCCTTTTAAAATCCCCTGTCTTACATAACCCATCAATCGCAATCGTCATCGTATAAACCGTAATATTCACATTAGCCTTAACCATTCTTTGAAAAAAACCAAAACACATATTCATTTGATCACCTCTCTTCAAAGCAATCAAATACACCATACAAGACCTCTCATCAATCTTCATACCGCTATTCTCCATATAATCGAAAACCGACATAGCCTCATCGAACAATCTATTATCAGCGTAAACTCTAAACAACATGTCGCAAAGCTTTTCAACAAATTTAGCCTCAGCAGTTTCATTTTCAATTAAAGAAACTAAATTTATAACTGGGCATCGAAGACTAACATCAGTTGCAATATAACTCAATACATTTTTCATTTCAGCAAACTTTTGCGCCTTGTATAATCTACAAATCAGGATTACATGGGCTTGAAGATCGGGTTTATGCGCAACGGGAGATGGGTTTCTGCGGAGAAATTTGAAGAAACTCAAACAAGATTGAGGAGGAAGATTTGAGTTTGATAAAACAAGATTGGCAATGTCAGAGTTGAAATTTGAGAGTAAAAGCGGGGTCGTTTCGAAGGGTTTAAGGCCGGATTTGATGAGGGTTTTAGCGATGTTTGAAGCGATTGCTTGATGAGCAATTGAGGTGGGATTTGTAAAGTGGGTTTTATTGAAGGCTTGTAGTAGCTTTTGAATTGACATCGTTGATTAACGAGTTGAATTTGAAGAAGCTACTGTCACTCGGTGACTGAGCTCGGAGCTTTATTTGCTATGAAGATTGTGTTGGCGGTTTTTTATAGGTTGCTGAAACGGTCGGATGATTGGATTTATGGGTCAGACTCAGATGGAGATCCGATCCAGAGCATCAGTATAATTTTTTTTTTTTTTTTGTTTTTGTTTTTGGGAGTAAGTAAATAAATTAACAAAAAATGAGAAATGTTACAAGTAACACGGTGGCCGCCACATAACAAAACAAGAGACAACAAAGGCACATATGCCTAAACGGCTAAACCCAAGAGCACGCAGGCTCGAACATGACATAATTGCCTGAAATAGCTCAAAGGCTCGAAGACAAAAGCTAACAAGGCACATACGCCCAAGAGAAGCACTCAAACTCAACAAACCAAACTCAAGAAAGACATAGACGCCTAAATGAGCACGTAAGATTTACATAAGAAAGGAAAGAAACTAGGATCATCGCCTTTTCTTCTTACTCTTATTTCACTTGGAGGCTGATGGATTTGGAGGTTTAGAGGACAGGGACTGGAACGTGGGCCACTCCATGTCCGAGTGGAGGTCCACTTTGGCATCTTCGACGTTCATGTTGCAGTGGCCAACAAACACCATGGCTAATGACCAGTCCCGACCATAAATTGATGAGTTGTTGCTTGGCCCTTTTTAACGACATTTTATGACAAAAGATCTTGAACTTCAACAATTGGAGCACCACTCGGAATGACTTCATTCGAGAAAGTGGCCAATGAAGTTTCTGGCCAAAGGGTGTTTGGGGGGTTGGTGCTCACCGGGAAGGTCTTTGGGGCCCCAAGAGGGATCAAGTGAGGAACACTCGATGGAGCCTACTCAGGTGCCTTAGGTGGCTTAGGTGCCTCCTTTGGCGAGTGGCAAACATGGCCAAACTCGCAACATTTTGGACAACGCTTTGGTTTCAAGCGTAAATCAGTGCAAAAAGGGCTTGGTTGCCTCAATCTCCATACAAGCCCGAGCATAATCAAGTTGGGTAAACTCATCAGTTGATTTGCCAACTTAAAACAAGGTTAATTTAAAAAGGAGTAATGACATGCTCTTACTTGAGGATTAGCAAAATTCAAGGTTAGTACCCATGGTTTTATTTATTCTAGATTCTCACTCTTAAAATAACACCTTTTTGTTTTTTTAACAGTTAAAATGCTAAAATAGTCTTTACCATAATTTGAAATTAAAAAGTCAAATAACCCCACATCTCAACCGTGTGTAAACAACTCTCACACTTGATCTTGTCGTTTCCCATTGGAATTGGACTTCAGGACACCACCATCAACTTCAGCACCCTCACATTACTAAAACCTTTATGTTTTCTGACTCATTGACCTCTTCGATCGTTGATGCCATTAGGGTTAGGATTTGGTTGTTCTTCGTTGGATTCTAGCCATTTCTGGCGACCAAAATCGAATTGGTCTCCACCATTGCAACCAACTGCTCCAACTCTTCAAAACCCCCATATCCTCTTCAACTGTTCAGTTTCCGTTCGCCAACGGTGAGGTTCGTGTTCTCCTTCGCGATTTTTAGTGAATTGGCTAATTTTGATGATTGATTCAGAGAATTGATGGGTTTTTGCGAGTTCTAGTGGAGTGTTTGTTTGATTTGATCTAGTTTTCGCATTTTTTGTGTTGGGTTGATTTGCTGCATGGTGGGTCTTGTTTTGGAGAGGTTGGATGGGGGCCTATGGGTTTAGGGTTTAGGGTGAGTTGGCTATGGTGGTGGTTTGGAATGGACTATGGTGGTGGTTTGACCGACTGTTGGTGCTGTGTTATAGGGTGGGTCGATTGTGATGGTGGTTTAGAATGGGGTGGTTTGGTAAGTTGTGGTGGTAGTTTGGGATTGGATGTTTGGAATAGATGTGATGGTAGTTTGGATGGGGTGAAGGACAGTTTAATAATCACTCTCAAACCTTAAGGACGATAATCTGGAATTTATAAACTAGGGATACTACCCTTGGATTTTGCTAAACCTGGGTGGGAATATGTCGTTTACTCTTTAATCCAACACATAATCATGTAAAATCCAAATATCTCATCCTGTCATATATGTACATATATTACAATTCTAAATATATATATGTACATATATACAGGATGTATATATCTATATATTATATGGCTCATTTTAGCCGCTGATGGGAGAAGTAGATGCGTAACAAAAGCATACGAGCGGCTACTACACAAAGACGTTACTTGTACAAGGCTTTGGTCTAATAATATTCATTCTACCCCGTCAACAAATTAAATTGCCCAGCAAAGGCCCAGCCCTATCACAAAGTCAAGTATGATTAAGCCATTTCGAACCCAACACACAATCATGTCAAAATCCAAAATATCTCATCATGTCATATATGCACATGTATTACAATTATCCAAAATATCTCATTATGTCATATATAAGCCATACTTGACTTTGTGATAGGGCTGGGCCTTTGCTGGGCAATTTAATTTGTTAACGGGGTAGAATGAATATTATTAGACCAAAGCCTTGTACAAGTAACGTCTTTGTGTAGTAGCCGCTCGTATGCTTTTGTTACGCATCTACTTCTCCTATCAGCGGCTAAAACGAGACATAATATATTTTTATCCTATTTAATTTGAAGATGGAGTCTGGTGATGAGATAGTTTTAATTGGGCCTCAAGTCCATAATTTATGGTTCGTAATTGGGCACAACATTCATGGAAATACTTGTAACCACAAGCCAATAGGATTTGAAAAATAAATATTGAGAAAATATTAAACGATCAAGACTCCAATTCATAATTAAAAGAACAATGCTACACGTATAGATAAATTTTTGTGCAACATAATATGACACAAAATAAATAGAAGAGTAATATGATGAATTTGACTTTTTGTATTTCCTATTTTATTCATTTTATGTCATATCAGTTTGTAAACAAATCCTTGAAAGATTTGTTTGTCATTTAATATTATTGGGCATGTTTTGCTTATTATTTTTATTCATATTCCTAATCCTATTCTCCAAATAATATTTGACACATTATTCCAGAAGTATTACCTTATTTTTTAATTACTTTTAGACCCCATAAGGTTATTAATTTCATCAAATGCACCCTGAAAAAAGTTTAAAAATTATCAAAAACACCCCTGCGATCCATACTTGCCAGATTCCAACAACCACCGTCGTTGGTAGTCGGAATCTGTACAACGGCCTACCTGCCGATCAGAAATGGTCGGAAGTTCACCGATATGGCCTTTTCCGGCCAGATCCACCACGGATCTGGCAGAAAAATGTCAGATCTAGTCGTGAACGACGGCCAAAGAAATGGCCGTCGTTGAGGTCAACGACGGCCAAATCTTGGCCAACGTTGACCAAAAACGACAGCCATATCTTTGGCAGTCGTTGACGGCCAAAGATGGCGGTCATTTGGCCTTTTCCGACCGTCGCAGCCACAACAGGCCATAGATCTGACCTTTTTCGGCTAGATCCGTGGTGGATCTGGCCGGAAAAGGCCATAACTACGCGGCCACAACAGGCCGTAGATCTGACCTTTTTTGGCTAGATCCGTGGTGGATCTGCCCGGAAAAGGCCATAACGACGCGTTACAACACAGATCCGACTGGTCTGTGTCGTAACATGATTTTCTGGCCAGATTCTGGCGGTGGTGGCCGGAATCTGACACTGCCGGTGGTGGGGGTGTTTTTGTCATTTTATATATTAGGGTATTTAATTAAATTAGCAAACCTAGGGGCTTTTTCATAAATTTTTAAATTTTACCTCGTAATACTCCCCTACCAACTACCCAATATTATTCCCAAAATCCTATCCAAAATAATAAACCAAACGCACTCATTATTATTAAAAATCTCTTCCTATTCCTATTCCTATTAGGAGACTTAAATTTCCGTGTTAATTAATTTCATAGCAATACTTGTTTCAGTTCTAGAGTTAAAAAAATTTCCTCTTTTTTTCCCTCAATTTCAAAACCTTCAAGATGAATAATAACAGGGAGTTCTGGGATAATTCCAACCTTACTGTTTATTATGATGATCACTTCCCTCTTGATGAATTCATGGAAACCTTCGGTGACAGCAACGGCAACGGCACTGGCATTGTTAATGAAGACTATATTCCTCTTGGTGAAGAAGCTACTCAAGATTATATTCCTCCTCATGTATTTGATTTCATCAGTGGCCTCGAAGACGAAGAGGGTGATCAACAACATGATTTAATGAGTTTGATTGACGAAGATGGAGAGTTTGACTCAAGATTGGTACCTTCTTTCATCAACGAGTCTGAGACTGACGAGGCCATGACTCAAGATTCTTTTGGCTTCGATTTGAATATTGATCCTAATGAAGAAATATCTCTTGACGTTTTGAAGATTGATGATGAAGAAATATTAGTGGACTTAAATTCTACGCCGGTTGATGAAAATTGAGTTAATATGGAAATATAAGAGTATCTCAAGGAGTTGCTGCAAAAGTATTAATTGCTGTTATAGTTTAGTAGTTTCTCTTCATAGTTATGATTTGCTAGTTTGTATTGAGCATAATATTTTTCTCAACAATGTTAGTAGTAATAATTTTCTTATTGTTGGATGCAAAATTGTATTGTAATGATATTGCTGATGTTGTGATTTGAGTCAACGAGAAGTACATAGACTTAGTGATGGGAACTACACGAGGGATTGTGGAGAATCCGTGATTTTGTTGAAGAATCAATTAATGAATGAATAGCACAAATCAAAGATTTTTAAAGTGGTTCGAACAATAGGCACAAATCCTACATCCACTATTTCAGTATTACTTTCTGTGTTTTTCTGCGCAAAAGTACGACTTACAAAAGTATGAATGAAAAAGAGATAGCTCCTAGTTAGGTTAAAAAGACAGCTAAATAACAAACTTGTAAATAAAATTAACCTAAAAAAATAACACGTGTCACAATCCACAATTCAGGGATTGACTGCACAACAAATATGATATTGTCAAATGTAACTTCTTGGCTAGGCTAATTAT